GGTTGTGCGGGCGGGAGCTGGCAGGGAGCTCGCTGCCATGGAGGTGGGGGGGCAGTCTGTGCCAGGGGAGCTAGCAGGAAGCTCGCTGCCATGGGGTCAGCTGCCAAGTCTCCCCTGCGCCAACCCTTACCCGGGTAGCCGTTGCCCTCCAGGTCCTTGGCTCCGCGGAGGGCAAACCCAAAGAAGTCAGGTGAGCTGCCAGGGGGCCAGTGCCCCTGCAGGACCTGGGAGTGCTGGGCCTTCACCCCGCCCGCCTGACCGTTGTACACGTACACCAGGCCCTGCTGCGCGTCCCCGCCGAACGGCGCCCCGATCGCAACGTCTGTGGGGAGACAAGCACTGAGGTCAGTGGGGGCATGAGCTGCACCCTGCTCCCAGGCCTCACCCCCCGCACGGAAGCCGGGAAAGGCAGCCAGACACAGGGCACCATGCTGGACTGTGGCACCGTCCCTTTCAGTGCTGGGCAGTGAGGGCGCAGGGATGGCCCCTTCCCCCGGCCTCTGTCCCCCATTGCCCCTCCCTGCCCAGCCCACAGAGGGCAAGGGCAGCTGGGTGGCCACATGCAGGGGCATTGAGGCTGCCATGGACGAGGACAAGGCTGAGACCTGCCAAACTCGTTTCACCTTGGTGACCCTGAACAGCTGGCAAGGGTGGGATTCCGGTCACCACCGACCAGACCTAGGTCCCTGCCTGGCCCCCAGGTGAGGCAGGACCGTGGGGGAGAAGCAGCTTGGCCTCCTGGAAACGCAGGGCTGGAGGAGATCTCGTAGCCTGCCTTGTCCAGCCCCCTGCTAGAACCAGCCACCCCGACAGCTGCTTGTCCAAGGCGCCCAGGAAGCCCCGTGCTCAGAACGATGGGATCTGGGAGCCAGCAGCACCGCCTCTCTAGGCCCAGCACAGCTCCTATCAGAACAGCTCCCGCAGGCCGTGGCACCCGGATTCCTGCCCAGAGCAGGCCAGACACCCTGCGCAGGGCCTGGGGCTGCCCCGCCAGGGGCCCATTCCCACCCCATTCCTCTCCCAGGGCAAGCAGCCCCCTTGCAGCCTAATGAAGCCCCAGCGTTGGCTGCAGTCAGGGCCTGCAAAGGGCTGGACGGGGACCCCATGAGCAGCTGCTGCTCCCTGGCTCCGAGGCGCTTGCCATTCAGGCTGACAGGCCCCCAGGTCTACACTGGTCGTTACGCTTTTCCCTGGGCTGTTTTTGCCTCTGGTAGTTCATGCTGGGGTTGAAAAAATGGGAGAGTCCATAATCCCCTGCCCCCCTCCCGGGGCATCCCAGGAACCCAGACTCTGCGGGACCCTGGCTCCTGTAGCAGGGAGTGATCAAATTAAGGGGTGCACACGCCTAGTTTCAGTCCCAGCTGGGCTTCAGCCAGGGGGGAGGGGTCACACACACACACACACACCATTGTAGCCATCCTGGTTCAGGTCTCCCAGCGGGGCCAGGGTGCTCCCAAAGCGGCCGAACTCCTTTTCCCCTGTCAGCACCATGGAGGCGTTGGGCTCCATGCCGTGGGGCTGCTGCAGGTAAACGTAGACTCTGCCCACCTCCTGCACCCGCCCATCCTCTGTCTTCTCCATGAACAGCGGGGCGCCCACCAGCAGGTCGTCCAGACTTCAAGTGGAGGGAGAGAGAGAGATCTAGGGCTTAGACCCTGGGCTGGTGCTACAGCCGTCAGCAGCCTGCGGTGTGGGTGGGTATCTCACCTTCCACCCCACACTCAGCAGGGGGTGATGTTCACAGGGCACTAATGCCTGGTACTGCTCCAGCAGCTGCCAGCCAAGCCACCTGCTCGCTCCTGGCCCAGCGCCCAGCCTGGGGGTGCGTGGGTGTTCAAAGAGAGAGCCCGTCCTGCACTCACCCCACAGCAGTGGCTCCTGCCCCAAAGGCCAGGCCAGGCCAGATCCACATCCACACGATGCTGGGACCAGGCCCAGCCCCATGGGAGAGGGATCCACTCACTGGCCAACAACCCCTTCTCCCCAGTGCTTACAGAAGCCACTTAAAACTCTCCCCTTCCCTGCCCCGACGCTCTATGGGGCACGGGCAGCTGTTTGGGAAACTATAATAAGCGATGGGGCCATGAACAGGACTCAGGTGCCGCGATGTTCTACGAGAGTCCCACTCCAATCCATTGCACCCCACTCTCTCCCTGAGCTGGGACCAGAACCCTGGAGTCCTGCCTGTCTAGTACCCACCAGGGCATCCCGTTTCCCGCGATTTGCCACCTTCATGCTGCAGATCCTAAACAGCCATTTGCTATGAAGCCTCCTGCCCTGCCAGCTGTAGAGAGAGCTTTAAAAAAAACACTCTCCGGGCCATGTTAACTCTGGAGCCTAATGACAACCACAGAATGTGAGTTTTCGAAGCTCTTCCACAGCCAGTTAATACCCGCAGGAGAAGGCAGCTGCATGGCACCAGCCACATGTGCGTCTCCTGCTGGCATACTTGGGCTGAGCAGCGTTCTGGTGGGAGCTCATTGTCTGCCATGCGGTCACCCTGCCTGAGCCTTGAGGAGGCAGCTGGATTTAGGCCACATGGTCCGTGGCAGATGAACACCTGCAGCCTTAGGAACCAAGCGCCTTTATGGGCTGGGGCACAGAGCAGGGGGACCTGGCCCCACAGGGTGTTTCTATACTGCAGTTAAACACCCACAGGGGGTCACAGGCTCAGGGGCTGTCTCATGGCGAGTTAGACAACGTGGGATCTAGGACCCACCTGGAACCTGAGCCCAGTGAAGTGGCCCCTTGGCCCGAGTCCGTGGACATGGACGGTGTCTGACTGTAGTGCAGACAAGCCCACCAGGGCAGTGGTGTAGCAAGGGCAGGACATGGGGGGGCAGTTGTCCCCGGGTGCCACACTAGGGTGGGCGTCAATGTAGTCCACCTCCACTCTCCCTGCTATTCCTTGGTTCGCCTGCTCCTCCTCCGCCCGCTGCGCTGGCTGGAGCTTCTTCCCCACCTCTCCACCCCCAACCCAACCCTCCTCCATCTCCGCTGGCAGGTTAGTGCATCCAGGGGCTGGGCCCCAAACTGGAGGAGGCAGGGGAAGATGCGGTACAAGCTCCCCCACCATGGTCGGGCTCAGCCGTGTGCCAGGTTTGGGGTCCCACTGCGCAGAGGCGGCGAGGGAGGCACACATTTTTCTTTTGCTGCCGGGCGCATAACACCCGCGCTGCACCTCTGCACAGGGGCCAGCCACCACTGCCAAGGGGCTCAGGGGTGAATCGAGGGTGCAGCCCAGCAAGGAGACAGCTGCATCCCCAAGCTCTCGGGACACACGGTGCTAATTAGCTGGCAGCCTTGGCCCTGGCTGAGCCCGGGAGAAGCCGATCTCCTGGACTCCAGCTCTCCACCTGGCTCCATCCCCTTCCCCGAGTGAGAGCCAGGGGCTAGGATGCTCTGGGGCTCCAACAGCCCTGTGAGAGGGCGTGTAGTGGGCACGTGCCTAGGCGGGTGCTGGAGTGTGGGACGCGTGTGCACGGGCAGGGGAGCAGTTGTGTGCATTTGGCAGTGTGTGTGTATGGAGGCGTGAGTTCCACTCACAATCCCTTCCAAATCCCCAGAATGGGAGGAGCTGCCAAGAACTGGACACGGGCCCCACTCCCGCCCAGCCCCCCGGGCCCTGCTAAACGCGCTGCAGCCAAGGCAGTGACTGTGTGGCCATGGGGCGGGGAGAGGGTGCTGCTCAGCTGGGCCTCTGACAGGGTTTTGGTGTGAGCAGGGGCCAGGGATGCTGCTGTCCCATCCCCTGCGCCGCGGGTGCGGCTGGGTCCACAGGCTCCATGTGGACACGGGCCCCACTCCCGCCCAGCCCCCCGGGCCCTGCTAAACGCGCTGCAGCCAAGGCAGTGACTGTGTGGCCATGGGGCGGGGAGAGGGTGCTGCTCAGCTGGGCCTCTGACAGGGTTTTGGTGTGAGCAGGGGCCAGGGATGCTGCTGTCCCATCCCCTGCGCCGCGGGTGCGGCTGGGTCCACAGGCTCCATG